CCTGTCCGTGGTGCTGCCCGGCCTCTCCCTGCGCGACTCCCGCCTACGTCCCCGCCGCCCGTGTGGGCGCGCAGCGAGTCTTTCTCGACTCCGGCTTTCTAAAAATTTGGCGTGCGGAAGCTTCGCACCAGTGCCCTGCTGAACCACGCAGAGACGGGGACTCGAAAACCCTTCCTCTGCACATAAACAGGACCTCCGTTTCCAGCGAGGGCCGCTCGGAGTGGGTGGGAGGGGGCGCCCGAATCCCATGCCCGCGCGCCGCAGCGAAACCGTACTGCGCAGACCCCGACACAGTCGGGACTGACCGCGATTCCAACTGGCAGGAAACGCCTTCTCCCGAAAGGCCACGCCCATTTCGCCACGCCCCTCGCCTCCCTGCGGCGCGCCTGCGCAATGCCTCTTACGCGACTCGAGCCCCGCCCCCGTCCAGAGCGTTCATTGGCCTCGGGGACCGGGCTCGGGCACAAGATGGCTGCTACGCGCCGGGAGTCCCCGAGTCCGAGCTCCCCGACCTCGGAGTCGCGATCCCCGGAGCTGCCGGACCTGGTGCGGGCGAGGAAAGGGCCCTCGCCTCCCTGCGGCGCGCCTGCGCAATGCCTCTTACGCGACTCGAGCCCCGCCCCCGTCCAGAGCGTTCATTGGCCTCGGGGACCGGGCTCGGGCACAAGATGGCTGCTACGCGCCGGGAGTCCCCGAGTCCGAGCTCCCCGACCTCGGAGTCGCGATCCCCGGAGCTGCCGGACCTGGTGCGGGCGAGGAAAGGGGAAAGGGCAGAAGGGTTCACAAGGTGACCCCACAAAGAGGGGTTGTGATCAGGACACCAGTTTGGGGTGGCTGGCTGATTCTGCAAGCCATGCCTCTAGAATGCCCAAGAGGGCATCCCGGACGAGAAATGAGTTCTGGAGACTTTAGAAACTCCTCCACATCCCCCCAGCTCAAACTGGTAGAGTAACCCGGGACATTCATTCATTGGACAGAGTCAGTGAGCTCCTGACCGGACTTTGTAAGCAGAGCGGTGCCCACGACAGAGAAGCCCTTGTGTCCTGTCATAGCTTGCAGTCCTGCGAGAGGAGAGGGCTGATGAGCGAGATTTCCCTGTGACACATTCTAGAAAGGAAATAAAAAGTGAGCTGATAGAGTGGGGGGAGCTAAATTTAGACGACAGCAGTCGGCTGGATGCCGGCTGATATTTACAGTGGGGCCAGGAGAGGCAGGAGCTGGCTCATGGCGGACGCGAAGTGACGCTGAGGCTTTGGAGCTGCTCTGGAGGCCGTGGAGGCCACTCCGAGGAGATGGGCTGTGAGGGCAGGAGGAGGAGCAGGGGTCCACTTTAGTGTTTTCCGGAGTGGAGAGGAGGTACGAACAGGCTTCCGACTAGGGCGGGAAGGTCTGGGTCCGACAGACTCGGGGCAGGAGAGGACACTGAGGGCCAGGGTCCCGGAGGAGTAGCGGTGCTCCCCGGGCGTGCTCATGCAGAGTTCTGGGCGGGGGTCCACGGGCTCCTTCCTCTGTCTTCTCCCCTCACTAGGTCCTGGTGTCCGATGATGGCCGCCCCGCCACTCCCCCGAGTGACCTCATCGAGATCCAGGTGGTGAAGGTCACGGACACCACGCTGGTCCCCGAGCCCCCCGAGCCGGGCTCTTTCCACTGTGCTCTGTGCCCAGCCGCCTTCCGGCTGGTGTCCGAGCTGCTTTTCCACGAGCACGGCCACTTGGAGGGCGCGGCCGGCGGCG